GTAAAATTATCGTTATCTGTCTCCAAAGGACCAACAAGGTCTAAAAATATCTTTTCAAATGCAGTATTTGCAGTACTAGTAATCACCATTGGTTCTTTCTTTGGTAGTGAATACTTTTGTCGCTGACACTTATCGCAACGTTTTACGAATTCCCGTACATCGTTATCAATACCGGGCCAGAAATAGTATTTCTTTATATTGTTTGACATCCGTCTCATACCAGCATGGCCACTACTAGGTAAGAGATGGAAGTCATTTAAGATAACTTTTTTATCATCCTTATTCTCAATTCTTTTTACATCACTTAAAATACATATGCGCGGTCCGCACCTACTCTTATTATTTTTAATCTCTTCTAACAACTTTTTTATGAAAATATCATTATCTTTGTTTTTTAATATGTATATTTCTTCTATATTTAACAAAATGCAAAATTTATCAATCTCTCTCACAAACTCGTCTCGCGTCATTTGCGATTGAGAGTTTAAAAATTTCACATAAATAGTCCTTTTACTTTCAACGTAACACAATATTTTGTTTTCTTTCGTAATTATTCTTAGTTTCCTTAAGTTCTCTAATCCTTTAATATCAATAAATCTTAGTTCAACTGATTCTTTCGGTTTGATGTGGGTGCTTACGACTTTCGGTTGATCAGGCCTCAAGTCTGAAGTATCCATATCTACCGCAGAATTAGTATTATATAATTTTCTTGCTTGTGCTCTCGTCATTACATTCAACACACTTTCATGCATCTCTTTCAAATCCTTTGAAGTGATTCTAGACAGTGCATCTGCAGCTGCATTGTCAGAACCTTTAACATACTGTACTTCGAAGTTGTATTCTTCTAACGTCATTCTGAATTTCATAAGTCTACTAGAAGGATCTTTCATGTTAAACAAGTAAACCAGTGGTTTGTGGTCTGTAAGTATTTTAAAAGGTCGACCATACAAGTATGGGCGAAAATACTTAACAGCCCAAACTATCGCAAGAAGTTCCTTTTCAATTACTGGATAGTTCTTTTCGCCTTTGTTTAAACTTCTACTAGCGTAAGCTATTGGTAATCCGTTCCTATTAGATAAAATTGCTCCTATGGCATTGTTTGACGCATCGGTTTGAACAATGAAACGATTTTGATCTGAAAAGTCCGGGTACTGTAATATAGGTGGGCTTGCTAAACGTTGTTTCAACGTTTCAAAAGATTGTTCACATTTGGTATTCCATTCAAATGGTACGCCTTTTCTAGTCAATTTATTTAAAGGATGTGCAATTTCAGCGAATTTTGGTAAAAACTTTCGATAATAGTTAGTAAAAGCTACAAATCGTTTTACTTCGTCTGTATTTGTGGGGCGCGGATAATTTTGCACAGTACTTATTTTTGCAGGATCAGGCATTATGCCCTCACTTGAAATAACATGTCCTAAATACAGAATTTCTTTCCTTAGAAAATCACATTTTGCTGGATTTAGTTTTAAGTTAACAGCCCTTAACCGTTCAAATATATCTTGCAAATTCTTGTTATGAACTGTCAAATTTCGGCCAAACACAATCAAATCGTCCAAGTATATTAAACACTTTTCATTATTTAGACCAGCCATTGCCATCGTTATCATTCTTGAAAAAGAACTTGGACTAGTTTTCAGTCCCATCGGCATACGCGTCATCTGGTATTGTCCTGAATAAAAAGCTGTGAATTTTCTGCTATTTTCATCTAACTTTACATTGTAATAACCCTGATGTAAATCTAAATGCGTAAAATAAATACTACCCGTCAATGATCTTAAAATTTCGGTGATATCTGGTAATGGAAACTTATCGTCCTCTATACAATTGTTCAGCTTCCGATAGTCAACCACTAATCGCCATTTTTTATCTTCCGTTGTATCTGACTTTTTGGGTACTAATAGTATCGGACTTGACCAATCGCTTTTGCTAGGCTCAATTATACCTTCTTCTAACATTTTATTAATTTGGCGTTTAACTTCATCTTTTTGAGAATATGGCAAACGATATTGTTTTGAAAATACTGGATTTGTGTTAGGCTTTACAGAAATAGTATGAGTATATATATCTGTTGTAGTTAACTGATCTCCTGGAAGGTAGAATATATCTGAATACTTTGCGCAAATGTTTTCAATAGTTTTCTGTTCCTCATCATTTAAATGTTTCAATTTCATTAATGAAAATAACTTTTTTACTCTATCAGCATTTTTTTGTGTTTTATCGAATACGCAAACATTAAACTTACTAAGTTTCTCAATAGTAGGCTCTATTTCTGTAAGTGTTAAGTCATTTTCAGTTACATTTAATATCCGAATAGGTATTAATCCGTTTTGAGGACTACCTATAGAGCTTGCTAAAAACACTCCATCTCTCAATTCTTTTGATGACACTACACAATCTTCATCGATGTTCGTATGTACAAAATGTATTGACTCACTTCTAGCAGGAATGTCAAAAGTAACACTATGTTTATTTATCAAAGGCAAAGAAAAAGTTGAAATGTTATTATGTAATGTTAAAATATTTTTATGAAAATCTAATTGAGCTTTAAACTTGCTTAAGAAATCACGGCCTAATATTCCACTTCCCTTAATGGGCAAGCTATTAAAAACATAAAACTTCTGACTAATTGTTTCATCATTCAAGAAGAATGATAAATATAGGTATCCGATTGCTTGTACTTTGCCACCTAAACCGTTTATTGTTACAGTCTCTTTATGGATAGGAATGTTACATTCTAGAGCATGTTTATACGTACATGCTGACAACGATGCTCCAGAGTCTACTAAAAAATAATGTTTCTTATTACGATATGATGGCGAATGCAAATAAATGTAACAATTACTATCACTAGATAAAATAACTTTTTCACCGTTATTCACGAAAAAACTGATTAGATGTTACTTCTGATTCTCCCGCTGTTTCCGAATTTTGCATTAAATTAACGTTGCGTTCTTTACGCATCCCTTGATTTCCTCTGTTTGAATTATAAAATTTACCTCTATATTGTTTGCGACCGGTAGTTCCTCCTCGAGTCCACTGTCCTCGAGAATCAAAGTGGGCTCCATGCTGCGCTCCTCGGCCTCGTCCTCTGTACGAATAAAAGTTACTGCGACCTCCACGCTGGCCTCTACCTCTATAATTATTTGAATGGTTCCTGTTATAAAAATTATTATAAGGCTGTTTGTACATACCCATAACTTCTCCAGAAGGTGCACCTATGGTGACTTCCTCGTCTTGTGCAGCCTGGACAGCATCTTTAAGCGAGCTGTAATTTCTAGCAGATATAATCGTACTTAATCTACGATTCCGCAACCCACTGGCAAACTGCTTAATTGCCATTTGTTCGTTTATTGGTTTTAATATATTATAGCATTGATCATTGCCATCGGCTTGCGCAATCGTCAGATCTACAAATAATTCTGTAATGTCCTTCCCGTAATCCGCAATTGAACTTTCATTTTGTTTAATTTTTTGCAACTTATTTTGTATTGCCGTTGCAGCTTTCTTACATAATAACACACTTCTCATATCATTTATTAACTCGTCTACAGTATCATATTTCGCTTTTAACTTTATCTTAGCTTCTTGAGAAAGTCTACTTTTCAGCACGAAGTTTATTAAGTTTTGTTTACAAGAATTTTCTTTTAAAATAGAATTATAATAGACTATATTATCAATCAATTGCTTCGTATTAGACTCCTCATTTGTCATAACAGGTAAAAGGCTCAAGGCAATTTTTAAATCAAATGAACTCATCTTCGAAAAATAATCTGATTTATCACTCTGACACAACAATAAACTATCCTCATATAAAGCTAAAAATTCACGACAATGATTCTGTATTAATAAAATATCTTGGCTACTATAATATTTATTCTTAACTTTATCATTAAAATCAATTAACCAAGTCTCATACTGTTGATAAATAGCATCAACTTCAATTACCTTCTTTTCCAATACTCTCTCTGTCCTTCGTTTCGGTCCTAACTTTATTAAATTTATTCTTATTTTCTTTAAATCATTATATAATGTCAAAATTATATCCATTAGGTACTTAACACCACAACTATTTCTAACTATACTAACTTAACTATTCATGTTAACTATTCATATTATAACATTAGTATTAAGTTTTATAATTAAGTAGGAATGCAAACAAACGCAATTAATACCATAGTCCAAAGTTCAATTCACGTTCAGTCCGTATTTGGTAAGGCACTGCATTGTTTTAAAACTAAGATATTACGCAACTCGATTGATATAATATTTGCATATGATTATTGGAACGATTAAAACCGATTTATACTTTTCCGCACCAATACTTTTTAAGCACTTTTTTTTTTTTTATTTTTCACTTATGGCACTTTTTTTTACACACTTTTATGTTTCACACCATATCTTCTGAAAATGTTTTAGCCGTGTTCTCGTTGACCCCCGACTGCAAACGACGACGAAGAAAAGATCTCCTCATCATAGTGATCCGATTGATCTCATTTGTTATCCATCGTACATGGCATCTTCTATACAGCCGGTACACGAAGTATATCAGTCCAAGTAGTATAACCAACAGGATAATCGCCAGGAAAATGTTTGTTATAGACATATGAAAACGAATTTCGTCAGTTTTCGCCTCGTTACTGCCTGCAGCGTTTTGGATAACGAAGGTCTCTTCCTTAGATTGTTGTTTTCCCATGGTCGTAGATTATACGTACTCTCACGTCAAGTTCGTAATTACAATAAATCTGCACTAACTCCATTGTTACTAATAATTCGCGGTACTTAGGTGGGTACACAGTACACTCGAACGTCTCAAATTCGCGGCGCGCGTGTTGACCATCCTGGCAGGGTCGCCATGTAAGGTGCGGTGTTTATATGAAATGAAACCAGTGGATGCCCGAATAATACTGGCCTATATTTGATAGAATAACATATTATAAATGGTTACATTGGTACAAAGACAATACAAGATAGAACTTACAATAGGTATAATATATGCCTCACACAGTATTTGTATTCCAGTTTATAGTAGAGGTTGTGGTTGAAGCGGTGGTCTGTTCGATTATCCTAGCAGGTTTGATTGTGGTCATTTCCAATGCGTCATCTTTGCAAATGACCTTCCCATTAAGTCTTATGGCCTTTAGTTTCGGGACACCATTTGCGGGATCATATTTGACGGAGAAGCGCAATGGAATCGGCCTGCCAGGAAATATGCGTATGTCACTCTCAATTCTGAAATCAATGTTGTTTTTTGTGACCACTTTTCCTACTGGATTCTGAAAATAAATACACAGATAGAAATTTTATTATTTTAAAATGGAAACAGAGGTGTGTGCTGTACAATGCTCCCATATTTCACCATCACCAATTTTGTAATAGGCAGAAAGGTATATCTTTATAATCTATACCTATCTGCTTATGCTGTATATATTATTTCATCTCACATTACTTAAGGTACTGCTGATATACGACTGATATTTATTTATTTTAATTTCCAGCTGTGACCGTCCCACTGCAGGGTCTGCAGGATAAAGGTCACCCTAGCCTCCTTTGACTCCTTTTTGCGGCCAACGCTTGTGAGTTTTTCTCAGCATCGGTTTCGTTTATAAAAACATAACCTCACTTTCAAAAATTAGTTATAAATTAGAATAATAATAATGACTTTCTTACCCTCAAATGTAAGGCCGGTCGATCCAAGACAATATTTAGCCACAAATAGTATAAGAGGCTGTCTGTCGATATCAACACGACCGCTGACCAGAGGTCCGGCTCAGTTTCTGGTGGTTCATACTCATAGATACGTGGACATGGTGATGGATACACCGGGGTATCCTGTTCATATGTAACTGATATGACCACCAGAATGATAAGAACTGCAATCTGTTGACAGAAATGTTTATTTAAAGCTCTAGTTATTCTGGTTTATGTAATGTTCATTGTTGAGAGGAACAGAACTGTGATTCTTTATATAGACATATATGTCAAAAAAGACCTTTACATAGGGTTACCACCCAGGGGCGGATTATTCATAGACAGCGCCCTGGGCAACCACATCATCGCCTGTATTTTTTTGTTGCCCCCGCCCCCGTCGCTCTCTGAACAGGTGAACACGCGCCCTCTGTAGCTTGGCGCCCTAAGTTTACCTTTGGGATAATACTGCTCTGCTTTTACCATCATTTCATTTAATAATTATTTTAGTCATTCAAGGTAATGCTAAGATACTTTTCCCGTTACCGTTTCCAACTTTAAAAGATGTTTTGTTTTCATACTTCACCGATCTAATTTTGCCTTATACACATACACAGTACACAACACAAAGAGATCTAACCTTAATTCCGATCACCATTTTTAAGAATTTTTAAACTTATGCCACGAGCAATAAAAAATATTTTTGCTTGTTATTGGTGATCGACCGATGCGGGCGCCCTCGGTCGTTCCGTACACACAAATGTTTTAAAAAATCTTAGCAATATGTCAGAGGTCAAGGAAGTCATGGTTGAAGAAACATAGGATTTTGAACTATAAACCTATCGAGTTTAAAACTAGTTTCTAATAAATTCTATCAACGACGTCTCAACGGGTTTGTTTAGGTTTAAAAGAACAGGTTGATAGAAACTTTATACAAAACAGCTTCTTTGTCTGTTTGTTTGTCTAAGAAGGTTATAATATATAATCATAATCAAATATATAAACCATTTCGTTTAGTAGTCAATCAAAAATATTCCCTAATTTTTACCGACTTCAAAAAAAGGAGGAGGTACTATGTTCGGCTGATTGTTTTTTTTTTTTTTGTTTATTCGCGGAATACTCCGCCGTTTGTAGACCGATTTCAAAAATTTTTGTTTTGTTTGAAAGGGTATACTCCCGAGATGATCCCATTTCCATGAAGTCAGGATCTGATGATGGGATCCTAGGGAAACCGAGGGGAACTTTCGAAAATTCTATGGGGGAGTAATGCGTCTATTCTGTTTTTCAATTACGAATTTTAAACACTACAATTCAATAAGGGTCTGGAGTCGACCTGATGATGGAGTCGACAGACAGTCGAAGGAACTCCTCAACGGTTTATATTAACTACCTTGTGTGTATTGATGTGGACTTTACACCTAGATAGAGTGGGGCTGTCATTAAGGGTCTGATGATGAAGAAGTGTAATTGTTAAGGGAACTCCTCAACGGTATACAGTAACTACCTTGAGTTTGGGCTTGATTAATTTGTATTGATGAGGACTTTACACCTAGATAGAGTGGGGCTGTCATTAAGGGTCTGATGATGAAGAAGTGTAATTGTTAAAGGAACTCCTCAACGGTATACAGTAACTACCTTGAGTTTGGGCTTGATTAATTTGTATTGATGAGGACTTTGCACCTATGTATATTATAAGTAACAAAACGGGTATATGTAGCTTTACACTGAAAATGGTAAAATAATAAAATAAAAACTGCGTTTAAAAAACCGACTTCAAAAACCAAAAACTAATAACAAACAAAAAGTCAATACGAAAAAGCAAAAAATAACTATTATTAGTACTGATAGGTTACCCACCCACTGATAGGTTAGAAGTCGGTGCCATAAGCTCATATCATAATAATATAACTTAATGTCCACAAAATTGTGAATTAGATACCTATTAAGGTTTTAATGAATAATTTTGTATGGAACTTATGGCACCGACTTCTTACCTATCAGTGGGTTGGTAACCTATCAGTACTAATAATAGTTATTTTTTGCTTTTTAGTATTGACTTTTTGTTTGTTATTAGTTTTTGGTTTTTGAAGTCGGTTTTCCAATAAAAATATTGTGGTTTTCCCAGTGACAATATTGGTACTAATTACCAGATAACTGATTGATTTGATTGATATCAAACGAATCATTTATGAAATATGTTTAAATAACATAACATCACGCCTTTTATCCCCGATGGGGTAGGCAAAGGTGCACATTGCCACTGTACAATGTAACACCTACTTTTTACTATTTATGTTATGAGTCCCATGTAATAGGGGGTGAGCCTATTGCCATATACCGGGCACAATTCCAGACTCCGTGCTACAAATGAGTTTTTTTTTAAAACCCAGTAATACTTTACCCGACCCGGATTTTAAAAATCGATTCCCGGGTCAAAAAAATTTAAAAAATCCTGCTTCAATTCAACGCCCTCTTGTTATAATGTCGGTTAGTTGTCAATATTAAAACCTTCTCGTAAGTGCAACAAACACTTTTCTGAAAACTGTATCGAAATTGGTCCAGCCAATCGATAAATTGAGAACCTACTTTTTTTGAAATCGGTTATTAACTAATTTTATGTTATAAATAACGAGAAACATATTTCATTTAATTACAAATAGGTCCAGCTTGTGTCGTGGTGGCCCGGAAGTTTAAGACGCCCGTTTCTCATGTATGTAGGGTGCGGGTTCGAAAAGGAGAAAATCCTTTTGTGGGGTAACAATTTTTGATAATAAAATGATAAAAAGTTTTGTGCCCAAATGCCCCAGCGAAGTCTAAGACAGCCCTGGGATCAGATACGTCAATGAACTGTGCAACACCCGCGGGAAAAGTAGAGGTGCTGACAAATATATTCCACTCTGCTGTAACCACACTGCTAATTGCTATAATAATAATTAATAGATATTTATCGACAAAACAGTTATTCGTAAATTAGAATTAGGAAATTGCCACTACTCAAATGTATTCTTTAATTAGTGAAACAAAAACATTTTCCCCATAACGGGAATACTAATGCACCTAATAATTAATTATATTGTTTTGGTTTTTTCTATTCGAAATTCTCAAGAACTTGGAACTATTTTATTTTAAACCGTTTGGTACATCTGTACATTATTAACTCGCGATTGGCCGAACCGATTTTGATACGCGTAGGATCAGGTTTTATTACATTAACCGACATAAGAAGGAAGGTTGAAGTCAGTTGAAGTAGTTTTTAGATATAAGAATGTACATATTAGTATAATAAGTATGTATTAGTATAATATAAAACACATTATACTAATACATACTTATAAATGTCTTGGTGGCCCGGAGGTTTAAAATGCTGGCTTCTCATGCATGAGAATGCGGGTTTGAAACCTACCAACGGCAAGTACCAATGTGACTTTTTCCGAGTTATATGTACTTTCTAATATTACCTCTATTTAGACACCACTGACAAACGGTGAAGGAAAACATCGTGAGGAAACCTGGGCTTATAATTTCTAATTATAAGTTTGTAATCGCCAACCGGCAATGAGCAAGCGTGGTGATTATTAATGTTCAAACCTTCGCCGTGTGAGAAGAGGCTTTGCTCAGCAGTGGGCATTTATAGGCTGTTGATGATGAAAACACATTAAAATTTAGTAAAAGAAAGAAAACTGCCAAACGGTCCTTAAATACCTGATTAAACCACTGTTGACTGAAACACAGACATGCAGGCCGAGAGTACGAACCATGAATCACTTGTGTATAGCGTCGCGTCGCCACCTCAGCGTAGCTGCTAACTACTGATTTCGAGTTGCTAGACCGAACTAATGCCGGCTTAAGGCTCTGGACACAATAGCAGCAACATTTTAAAATTATAATCACCATGAGATGTGTTAAATGACGTTAGAATAGGCTTTAGTTGTAAAATTATTATAGTTTTATATGTGCGATGACATATTTTTTTATAGAATAAGCCGGTAAACGTGCAGACGGATCACCAGATGGTAAGCAACCGGCGTCGCCCATGGACACCTGGAACACCAGAAGCGTTACAAGTGCGTTACCAGCTTTTTGGGATTAAGAATTTGAGGATTGGGGATTCAGGGATTGGGGAAATGGGGGGAGGGGGGTAATTGGACATCCGACATATATCTGGCATATACGAAAGACGTCATCCATTCAATTAACTCTCAATTATGAGTACCGTCGTAGCTTAAAACTAATCTAAGTAAAAGAATTTTCCAAAGTTTTCCAATCATGTCAGAGGAAACAAAAATTTACTGAATATGAATCTTACTAATATTATAAATATCGTGATGGCCCGGTTTAAGAGGCCCGCTTCTCATGCATGAGGGGTTCGAAACCCACCAACGGCAAGTACCAATGTGACTTTTTCCGAGTTATATGTATTTTCTAAGATTATCTAGACACCACTGACAAACGGTGAAGGAAAACATCGTGAGGAAACCTGTGCTTATAATTTCTTATTATAAGTCTGTATTCGCCAACCCGCATTGAGCAAGCGTGGTGGTTAATGCTCAAATCTTCTCCGTGTGAGAAGATGCTTTACTCAGCAGTGGGCATTTATAGGCTGTTGATGATTATGAATATTATAGATGCGAAAGTCTGTGAGTGAGTTTGTGTGTTTTTGTCACTCAACCATGTCGAAACGACTGAAGGTATGGAACGACGGCATGTATGGAACAAGGGTAGATCATGGTACACAGGCTCCTTATCATCACATGGGAACACAGACAGAAGTTAGTAATTTAGAAATATAGCCTTTATTTTACAAAAGTTCAAAACGTAAGGCATGTTACCAGTGTAAACTCTGCCTTAAGCTTTGTCACGACCAGACGAGCCAGTGACCAGTAAGTTGATACCTTAATTTTCTTTTTCCTGGCAGACTTAATTAATTTAACGTTTGTTACTGGTAAGCTCGCTGGCTTATGTGAAAAAATTGCTGTTTTGTCGTTGAAAATTCTACTTTTGGGTCTTTGGTTTCTCAACTAGAATCGGTTTTTAGTTTATACCTATACTTGCTTAACTGGCTTTTGCCAGCGACTTTTTACCACGACAAAATTACCCTGTGTGTTAATCCAAACTATAATCTATATCTGTAACAAGTTCTATCTAAATCTGTTCTGTAGTTTTGTAGGAATAATAAAAAGCATTTATATATAACCTTGTGTACCAACGAAATACACCAACGAAAAACAACCACAACATTTACCGTACGTATTAGCAGAGATTTATTTATACCATACGATTCCCAAAGCTACATCTACCAGCTAACCCTTCACTTCACATCGCTAATGTGTCTCTGCGACCGCCATCCGACGTCACCGTCACCTGTCAACCTAATCACCCAACCCCTTGCACCTTTCCACCCCCCTGTTACCATGGCAACCGTGCTATTTACATCGTTACCTCATTTCCCAGTCTATTGTCTCCGTAAACAATCTTCTGTAGACGTCGTTTTGAATTAAAATGCATTTAAACGCGTGAGTTGTTGGGCTATTTTGTTTTTGAACAAATTGCATTTTGGATATAACGTAATGGGAAGCCTTTTAAACCCGGATAAACTAGGTGTATAGTAAACTATGTGCCACGTAGAACCCATTCATCACCGGTTATGTTACTTACTAG